TGCTTTGTCCAAAAAAATTGATAATACATATGAAAAAGTCCAAAAAGAGGGGACCGCAAGCACTCGGGTCTCAACTATATATAAGTACTCGAGGGTCGTCGAAGGCTACTCGATTACCCGGATGTATAAGATGTATAAAGCCCGACACTCAACTAGAAGGGTGTCCTATCGAACCTAACTCAGGAGGGTACTAGCCTAAACAGGTGATTGACAAGTGGACAACCGATGTTTAAAATGTATTTAAAATTTATATTTTCAGCATGCACATAGGTTTAAAACATGCAAAAAGTGGGCTGTATCAATTTTGTTTGTAGCGAAAAATATATTTTTATTTTAGAAAAAAGTGTATTTGTTCTTATCAAATTTGTTTTTATCAATTTTGAAAAGTAGTTGTCCACAAGTCGATCACGCTATCGGGCATAAGACTACCAACAACCTAAGAAGGTTCGGGTCAACTCCTGCTAGTCTTGTGTCGGTGAATGATATTGTCATCCTACAGCTCACCGGGTTCCTGAATCGGATCCTGATGGGTTCTTGAATCAGATCCCAATGTCATAGGATGACATATCATTCTGCTATATCTCTGGTGTGTCTTTGTCATCACCGCCCTAAGCCCCAAAACAAAACCAACCTACTTGCGACCTTGCTTGATGGTTTCACGTATAACAAAAGGCTATACGTGGACACTTATGTATCGGACTTAAGCATCAAAAGTCGAACCAAGAAGCAAGGGAAAAAAGAACAAAAATGGGGTGAGAGAGAGGAGTGTGTATCGGACTTAAGCATCAAAAATCGAACCAAGAAGCAAGGAAAAAAAGAACAAAAATGGGGTGAGAGAGAGGAGTGACTGATTCACCTAAAACATCGAAAAGAATGAATGATGAATCAGCTCTCAAAACTCGTGACGAAAGATCTGAAAAGGAAAGCCTGAAGATCCTTGAATCAATCTGAAAGGGTATCATTTTCTCACGTTTTCATAAGTGGATCAACCCAAGTCAAAATGACTTCCTAACGTCGGTATCCAAACCCCAAAGATATCTTTTATGAAATCAATTCGTCTCAACCAAGTATTCTCCCGAAATAAAATTTTGAAATCTCCCGAACTTCACAATTTAAATAAAAGGAAAATAACCTTAAGACGAAGACCACTTATACTTCCAAAAATCATGCCAACATTAAAGCTATTCAATTCCAGACTTAATGAAAATCTCCTCGTATCAAATAAACATGAAATCCTCCGGCTAAAACCACATAGAAGCTCACGGTCGGGCTTCAACAAATAGATGAACAACAGCCAAGGATCTCGGCCATCTCGGCCAAGGCAATTCACAAGGGAGGCAACTACTAAGGCTCACGGTTCAGGGCAGCAGGGGACAGCTGTTAAGGCCTAAGACCAAAGGCAACCCAAGTAACAACAAGTAAGGCTCACGACTAAGGCAACCAAAAAGGAATGGGGGAGCTGTTAAGGCTCACAGCCGAGGCAACCAAAAGAACCACCAATGGCTACTATGCTCCCTCGACATACATAAGAGGATAAATAAAATGATTATAATTTTTGGGATGACAAATTTGATTCATCAATAACATTCAAGCCATTCAAGCCCAACAAGAAGGACCAAATCAAATTGAGCACCCTCAATAGGTCTCACGAATAGGAGTAGGAAACAACTCAGGATAGCCACTAAGGCTCACAAATAGGAACCCAAAAAAAAAAACACAAGCTAGACCCTCGGGTAAGGGCCTAAGACAAGCCAAACTGAGCCCCCAGCCAGCCCTCGGGTAGAGACAGAAGCAAGCACAGGGCAGCCACCAAGACTTTCGAGTAGGGACAAGTATAAAGCCTAAAAATAGGCTCTCTGGTAGGAGCTAAACCAGCACACTGAGCACCCAGACAAAGCCAAAACAGACCCCTCAAGGTCCATAAATGAAGTTCAAACAACTAGGACAAAGCCTTAACCAAAACCAAAACCCAAAGCTCAACCTCCAACCCTTCCAAAGTGAAAACCGAGCTCTAATAGAGACCAAACCCAACCTTTGAAGGCCAACAAATGAAACCATAATAACAAATCCACACCCAGCCACCTCATAATGAAACCGGGCACCAATAGAGGTCAAAATAAAACCCAACCAGAGTAAAAGTTCAAAGCCCATGCCATCCAAGGGTTAAAGAATACTCATATGCCTTTGAAAGATCAAAATATGTAGCCAAAATATGTTTTAAACTGTAACAGTAGCATGAAAAATAATTTTAAGCTACCAATATAATTGTTCTAAGCATGAAAGATGTTCCTTTCCCCTTCTCAATGAGTCAAACCAAACTATCAAAGCAAGATATAAGACACTTCCAAGTGAAATAGATTTTCTCACAACATGTATTTCAAGTAAGAAAAAGCTACAAGGAGCCAAACCAAACAGCAGCTAAAGCTCAGAACCCGGCCACAACAAAATCTAGAAAACATCCTCATGCCTTCAAAACATCAAAACATAGGGCCACCCGTGTTTCGAACAAGAACAGCTGTAGAACTTTCCCAAATCAAGATGAATTTCTTCATAGCATGCATTTCATGCCAGGAAAATCCACAAGGAATCAAAAACCGAATTCCACATATATATGAAAAGCAAAGCAAGTTTTCCAATACTTCATACTAAGCAAGAGTGAATAAAAAAAAGAGAAGCCTCGTAGTGCATCCCAACATGTATTGCAGAGGAGCATATGTTATCTCAGAGCCCATATTCATCACATTTCCAGTTGCTTTAAGTAAAAAAGAGAAAGAAAAGAGAGAAGCTAATAACATGCCACATTCTCATTATATTAAGCAAACAATCATGTCCAGCCCCTAAACATGTCTGCTATTCTATTTTCACATGCTCAAGTAATAAATATCTCAAAGTATAGGCGCAATAATAAACTAGCATGCTGTTCCATCCAACAGAGCCATTCTCAGTGGCTCGACAGAGAAAAAACCGAAAGGAAGCAAGGCGCAAAGGGGGGAGGAAGGTACCTCCTTAAAGCAGAATGTAATACAGGGATTTCAGAAAGAGAATACTTCACAATCTTCACTCCTCTTCAACAGCCAGAGGAAGTCAACTCCAGCACTAGGAACTAAAGAAGAAAGTGAGAATGAAATTTGGCAAGAGTTTTCTTTTCGTTTCGAAAATTTCTCGACCCCCTGAAACGCACCAACGAAAGCCTCTTATAGATCAGAGAACAGGAGAAGGAATGATTAGGAGATTGTATACGATTCGAAGGATCGAGAGGAGCAGACGCCTCCATACGGGCGTGCGAGAGGCAGAGGATAGGATCCTCGCAGAGGCCACGCTTTGCGGCAAGGAGAGTAGAGTTTTCCCTTCGTTTCGAAAATTTCTCGACCCCCTGAAACACACCAACGAAAGCCTCTTATAGAGCAGAGAACAGGAGAAGGAATGATTAGGAGATTGTATACGATTCGAAGGATCGAGAGGAGCAGACGCCTCCATACGGGCGTGCGAGAGGCAGAGGATAGGATCCTCGCAGAGGCCACGCTTTGCGGCAAGGAGAGTCAAGAACAGAGGATACGATCCTCGCAGAGGATACGATCCTCGGCAATGATAAGAGGATGGGTCGTCTGCGAGATTGTCTCGCGTGCGAGAGGAACGAGCGCGGGAGCGAGGCTCCAACGGCACGAAGGAGTGGGCCAGGCGAAACCGAGCGAACCTCGGCTAGGGCAGAGGTCCACGAGCGCTGGTCCGTTTTGTCATACGGAGTCGTCCGGGCAACCTCGTCGTCGTTCAGGTCAAAAACACGTCGCAGTCCGAATCACGTCAAAAACTAGCCTCGAATTCGATTAAATAGGACGACGAAGAGCGCGGCGGCGCCAAAACAACGCGTACAGTCATGATTACAACCAATCCTGAGGCCGACAATCCTATAGGAATACTCCCTGAGTTCCTTTAGAGTAGTCTTACCTGCTAAGCAATGTTTAGAGTAGTTTTACCTGCTAAGCAATAGTGGTCAAAACTACTATATGGAACGTCAAGTCGAGCGAAGAAAAGTTCAAAATTGCTAACGGGGAGTGCTTCTTCACTAGTTTTCTAGGAGTAGTCGACAGAAAGGTTCTACGGCTAGATCCTAGGCTACTAAGGAGGGGAAAACTGCACCTCGACCGAAAGCGAGGTCAACAAATCCTAATGAAGATGTTGGAATGATGATTGATTTTCTTCTGATTTCTAAAAATATTTTAAACAAGTTATTCACATACCGTTTGGGTTAGCAAGGGCTCTGAGAAGGATGAGATTGTGTTGCATGATATTGGTTTCACCAGGTGATAGAACACCATGGTTTAGGAACCAAAGAAAAAAAGTGGATTTACATTCTAGAGGAATTTGGAATCTAAATAAATAAAGACTTTGCTAGAACTTGCTTGAGCTTTCCCAGTTCATATTAATTTGCTTTTTCCAAAGCTTGGATCCTGGTGAACATCAATGTGTATTTAGCAATGTGGTTAGTAGCTAAATTATGCTGGGTGAAATGGAAAAATCTATTGGCTAGTACCTAAGATAGACATTAATCATTTTTTTTTAAGGGGAGGCATAGTATTTTTAAAGATATTCTTGTGATGCAATGTCGAGAGTAAATTCAATTTTAAATATTATATATTCATTGCTCAAGATAAAATTGAACAAAAAAATAAATTTCCAGTTATGGAGGAACGCTTTAGTATTTTGCGCGTTGTGTTATAGTGGAAATTGTAGAGAGTAAATTTATAACTAATGTTATTCCTTTTTACTGTGGAGACTTTACAAATGAGCTTAATTGTCATGAAACAAAGCTGCGGCATAGGTATGTTTGGAGAAATATGAAAGCCAAATTGTTAGCACTAATTTAATGCTTAACTAGTGCAGACGGGCACAACCAAGAAAGATTTGTGAAGGTTATCCCATATATTTTTTGTGACAATTCTTAGTGATGATTATGTTGATTGTGTTATGGATTTTGTTAAATTATGTTTATTTTTGGGCAGGATGCTTTTGCTGCTGAAAGGAGGAAGGCAAAAATGCTTAATTTCTCCATTGCTTATGGAAAAACTCCTGTAGGGCTCTCAAGAGACTGGAAGGTATGTGTTGCTGAAGCAAAAAATTGCTAGTCTGTTGATTTTGATGTAAAAATTGCAGTAATTTTACAATTATATGATTCTTGCCTATTATTTTTGAGTTGTTTTAAATTTTATTGCATATGGCTTTGGTATTGAAGATCTATGCTTTAAGCTTAGAATGGTAGTCCTTAATAGGCAGTTAGGTTTGTTATGTCCTTACATATGAAGTTTTAGTATTTACAGGAGGAATGGCATCATTTTTAGTGTATAATACAGCACTAGTGTATCTGCTATCATGATTCTCAAGCCGTATGATTGTGCTTGAGAGTTAGCATTCTTTCTTGTGCTACGTGAAGTAAATTAGGTTATGCTGCTTGAAAAAAATAATAAGATGTTAGGTTTATTAGTTTCTCATGGTGTTAAATAATTATAACAAAATATAAATACTAGTTGTAGAAAAATAAAGACAAGTGGTGGCATAGGGGAAAAGGACAATATGAAACTGGGAAGGGAGAAGGATAGTTCGCCAAGCATTGCAAGAGAGAAGATGAACATGTACAGCTTGGCACAAATTTGATAGCTTTGGCCAAAAACTTAGACATAGTATAGGAAAATTGTTACATAGAATTATTTTTGTTAGGATTTAGTGGGCTTTGACAAGATTGTTGTTATAAGTTTTGAAAGATATTTTGTCATTTTGCTAGGATAATGCCAGAGAGCCTTAGAAAAAAATATCAAGTGGAGATTCAGGAAAGATATAGACCACTAATTTTGGAAAGATATGTGGGGGAGGGCTGGTGTGATGAAGGTATGGTGCCCATGAGATGTGAATTTGACAATCATTGCATGAATGAATACTCATGGTTGAAGTAATATAAACGCATGTATCTATGTATGTTGTGGCCAGTGATCCTCATTTGCCTACGATAGCTATCATACCATGTCTAGCATGCATGCATGCATGTATGCATGTGTGTATGTGTGTGTGTACATGCATTTATATGCTTTTAGTTTTACATGAAAAAATCTTCTTCATATTTTTGCATTGCGTTAGATTTCTAATCTTGATTTCATCTTGGAGTTTTTAATCATTTTCTTTTCAAGTATCAAATTGTAATAATAAATTGTAGTTTCTTGCAAACTTGATATGTTGATCTTAAATTCCACTAATATGCATGTACTATGTGCTATCATTTTAGATAATTATTTCTCCTTAGGTGTCGCTCAAGGAAGCCAAGGAAACAGTAAAATTATGGTACAAGGACAGACAAGAAGTATTAAGATGGCAAGAAGAACGCAAAAAGGATATGCTAACCAAGCAGTATGTTCATACTTTGCTTGGCCGTGCACGTCGCTTTCCATCAGTAGCTAACGTGAGTAACGCTCAAAAAGGCCACATTGAACGAGCTGCAATTAATACTCCAGTTCAGGTAATTTGTTAACTTTTAAGCAAATTCTAGCTTTTAGCAGCTTTGTTGTCTGTATCCCCTGAAAAATTGGAGTAACCGTTAGACCTATAATTTGCTTTTTATCATATATTTTGTATTTTGATATTTGTTACATTTATATGATTTCTGATGGTTTTGATGACATAATAGCTGCATTCCATTTAAATTTCAACTTTAGTATCTTAAAGTTATAGGAAACTCTTGGCGTTCATGTAAATTTTTTAGATCGAAGCTGTCTTCAGAGTAGCCCAGAATGCTTTTTTAAAACTAACTAGGGCTGGTTGGTATGTTGTATAAGATGAGAGTAAATCATTCGAAGTTTTTGTTCAACTTTATGCTTTTAAGGAACGAGGGATCGAATGATTTTGATTTGATTGTATGATTTTTAATTGTTAGCTTGAATCCCTTGCAGAGCTTATAATATTGCAATAGGTTGGCTATGGAGATTTGATTTTTAAAGTTAGATCTAGGCCATGCTTTGTTATGTATGATGGCACACCTTTTTGTGTAGTTTGCTAGGTTTCATTAATTCACTATTGAGCAATAGTTACATTGCTTGTGAGCTAAATGTTGTGGGTACAATCATGGAAATAGATCATAATGTGAGCTTATGATTTTATACATCAACCACTTTCTTAAATCTTTGTTTTCAAGATCCTCATGAATCGAGTATGCCTTTATGTTAGGTGTTTTTGCCATGGAAAACTTATTTTATGGAATGGAAACATAGGGAGCATAAAAATAATGGTCTTTAGGGTTTACTTTAATGGATTAGTGGTTGTTGTAACTCTAGAACTGGTATAAAAGGAGAATAATTAACCTAGAGAATCCACTATGACTGTCTTTTGATTCATTATTAGAAGGGTGGCATCTCATTGTCACTGAAAAAAATGGAGCTAGTTTAGAAGATGAAGAAATCACTAATTACATTCTTCAACTATGTCTAAAGGAGGTTACAAGAACTATCTATAGGAATAGCATGAACTTGAATTTAGAAAACCTTGCAATTATTGGGTAATAAATAATCTTTCCAAATTGTTGAAATACTTAAATGTCCTAACACATAAATGAAACTAATAAATGCGAGTAGATGAGCATTAGAATCAAACTTTCCAACAATCTTATAAAATGGGCATGTTTTGGTAGGTAGTTTCTTATTGGTGTTGTACAACACAACTGAAGTATAGACACATAAACTGAAGTGTAATATTACTTCATTTTAACCCTAAACAATAATATAATATACTTCATTGTAACCCCAAGCACTATGATGAACATTCATTTTTACTCTCATCATGCATGTAAAATTCATTTTTACACTCAACATACAATTTATGAGCAAGACTAATGAAGAATGCAACTCCATATTTCCATGCTTATGTGTTGGAATGAACTCAAAAAGTTGTTTCAATTATAGATTATGAACTTGTCTACGCAATTCAACATACTGAATCAAGTCCTTATTAGCTAATTATTAAAAAAATTGAGAACCTAATGCAAAATTAATACATTGCTAAATGTCGTTTTGACGGAATTTTAGGAAATCCTTTAAGTGATTTGGCAACTATTTAGGTCTCAAAAACAAATTTATATTCAAATATAAAATCAGATTCGATATCAAATTTAGATTCATAAATCATATCTTGTGTAGGTTTCAGTGTTGCATTGGGATTTATTTTTGGCTTTTGGTTCAAGCTCCACCTTATATGAAGGTTTTTGATGATTAAATAGAATTGAAAAGATTCATTGACATCGTTTTAATTTTTCTAGAAAGTGTAAAAATATCATTATAAGGATTGGGTAGGGTTTAGGATGAAGCAGGGTGAGAGTATGTGACTCGGCAAAGAGACGAAGAAGGGAAAAAGGCAGCAATTGTTGTGTTGTGCGAAGGACAACAACAAATTGCTGTCTGGTAGCGAGAATTGAAGCAATGCCAACATCGAAAGGGTTGACCACCTAACCTCCAACAATATACAAATGCATTCCTTTGAAAAGTTGTAAATAGTCTCCAAAAAGAGAGAAATCTAAGAGAAAATCTCAATCCAGCATAAATTCAAAACAAAAATTTCTAAACCAGTCCTCAACAAAACAAATATATAGTTTCCAAGCAATTAACCCCAATAATAACCTAGTTAAGGTAAATTAAAACCCTAAAGGATTGGTCTAGCTCTTTAAAGATGGAAAAATCGAGCCAACTGGGAGAAGAAATGTAGCCAGGCTGGTTCGGTCCTTCCGTGTAGCAATGGGATGAAAATCAAAACGTCTGTGTCATTCTCCCGAGGTAAGATAAGCTTTGTTTTATTCATTGGAAACATCTACACCCTCTTAGCACAGTGACAACTTAATGACATTGAAGGTAGCATAAATATTGTAATCTTCTAGCAAATCAAGCTTGTGTGCATTATCATAATCTTCTTATAATCCTAAATAGACGAGACCATCAGAGCTCAGCTTGAGCTTCCTAGATAAAACCTACAGGAAATCTCTCATTCAATTTAATCTACACCAAGTCACCTTTCTTGAAAATCATAGCATCCTAATATTGATATCTTGCTCTGATACTTGGTGTTTTGTTTGGCAATTTCATTTCTTACCTGCTCAAGTAGAATCTAAATATCTCTAACTCTGGCCTAAGCTCAATTGTTGAAAGTGTTTGTACTAATTACAATAATGTGAGAGGATTCCTCTCATATGCAATCTCAAAGAGATTGTGACATATGGACTAATTGATGGACATATTATAGATAAAGTCAATCTAAGGAAAAACTGATCCTGCTATTTGATGTTCATTCCCATTAAATAATTGAGATGATTTTGCAAAGTGTTGTTAACCACATTTATCTTTTGCAAAACTGATCCTGCTATTTGATGTTTTGTCCAATGGTGGCCACACTACCTCAAGTATTCGCTCTGTGTCACTATAGCTTCCATTTTTGTTTGAGTACTTATTATTTCTGACTCCTTCATTAGCAAAAGTATAATACACTTCCTGTACTTGATCAATGAGTACGTATTTTGTGTCCATCTTTAAGTTTACCTCTGACATATTACCACAATTAACTTAATAGAATGTGACATGCATCCATAGACATGACATTATAACACATATGATCGTGTAGCTTGTCTCTGATAGAAAATTCTACCTGACATCTATTGTCAGCACTAATTTCATTCTCTTTTTCTAACAAAGGAATAAAGTTGTGAATGCTTTGGTATAGTGAGGCTCAACTTGTTCATCATCAGAATTGACGCTACTCACATTTACTTTCATCTATAATGAGACTGCACATTCCCTTTCACAGTATTACCGGTATGTAAAATGTTATCTGTGACCCACTGTTACCCCTTCTCAAGCTTGTTATGGAGAACTTGTTAAATCACAAGCATCTCTTAATATTCAATAGAAAACTAGTATTCCTCTCCTAAGTTTCCACTATCTATTTTTTCTACTATATCCTGCTCAGTAAAAGAAAATTAATATCTTTTTTGAGCAATTGAATGAAATGCACCCTATCCTTGACACTTAAAAATATTTTTTGGTTGGGTTATAAGTGTTGGTACGATCAAACTTTGTTTCCTCCTATGTTGGTTTCTTAGCAAGAGGGGCAAACCTTAATAATTTGGTTGATGTGCTCTTACTGCCCGACCTCGTGATGGAATCTTACTTGAAGGGTGGACTGATTCTGCTACGATTGTGCTGCTTCTTCACCTTTAAGGTTAAGGTTTTGATATCATTTTAAGGTCTGGTAAGGCGGTAACTATATCAAATTATCAGTAGAATTGCCTCAAATTTCAAAGACATAGGGTTAGGATGTTCTCATCTAGATGCATTTCAACATGAATTAGTCAAACTCATTAGTGCACTTCTCTACTGATAACTTCTTTTATTGTAAATGATGAAGTCTCAAGATTATATCATGTCAGTAATATGTTAGAAGATACTTGTTTTGCATTTCCTTCATCTTAGACAACGTCGTGATTTTTCTCTTTCCCCCGTGCTGTCGCAGGCGGTTTTTGGGCTCCGATGCTCCCACCATAGAAAAGCATTTTTTTTTAATTTGATTTAGTTAAGTTCGATTTTTTTTCAGGTTTAATGTCATTATACTGAAATATTCATTTCATAGTTTAAAAACACTCAATAAACTCACTTTAATTCATACAATTAAAGTCCAACAAATCAACCTTCACTCCTAAGTCAACCTCTCTCCTTGTATACTCAGCATTGAACCAATGTGGCATTTAGTTTTCATCGCTTGAGACTTATTGATAAATAGGATTTTCATCATCTTGTTTATTTGGGTGGTCACCATTGTTATTATGAATGACTTCCTTTTGTTGTCTTCTTTCAAAAATAATGAGCCTCCTTTACAATGGGAGGATTTCTTACTGCATATCCTCCATGGTAAGCTTTTGAATATTATTTTGGGGGTTTCATCTTGGCGGTGTGGTGGTTTACTCTTCTTTAAGATTTTTGACCAGCCTGAAATTTTTGGAGCTAGGATTGGCCAAAAGCTTAAGTTTATTTGGAGGGTGTAGCGACTGTTTTTGTTGGAGGTAGAACTGTTAGGCTTCGAAGGTTTTTGGTTAGGGTTGGGAATTATGATTGTGATTTGGCTATGTATCAAATGATACAATTCTAAAATTTTTAGTAGGTGTAAAAGGATTAAGTATTGGGTTGTAGGATCAAGGAAGGGAAGAGTATGTGACTCACCAAAGTGTTGGAGAAAGTAAAATAGAGAGCAGCTCATGTCCGAAGTGAAGGAAAGCAGAAAATTGATGTTCAACAGCGAGAATCAGAATGATGGCAACATCAAATGGGTTCACACCTGCGCTCTAACAATGTACCTTGTACAAGCAAGTTTAAGACGCTCCAAAGAAGTGAAATCTGAGAAGAACTCTCAGGCTAGTATAAATCCAAACAAAACTGTCTAATTTAGTCTACAACAAAATAAATATTTAGTCTTCAAGCAATTAGTCCTTATTGTAATCTAGATAAGGTTAAATAAGACCCTAAGTGGTCAGTCCAACTCTTGAAAGTTAGAAAAACTGAGGTAGCTAGAAAAACTGAGCTGGCTAGGAGAAGAAATTGAGCAAGCCCGGTTCAGTCCTTCTGTGTGGGTCTGAGTAATGCTGAAAGTTCCACATCTGGGACTGGCGCACAAACATTTGTGTCAACTGAAAATAAGGTCATGATAATTAGAAGATCCCATAACTTTCAGAAGCTTTTTACCTGTACATTTAGTTTAATACTTAGGTCTAAACTCAATTTGAGTGCCAATTGACAGTTTTTTTTTTGGATGTATTTCATATCATTCAATGATGGTGCATTCTAGATCACTCTCAGCTCTCTTTCTCTTGGTGTCGATCAAAGAAATCTCTTAAAACATCTATCATTATATTACGGTTAGGATACTTATAGTTCATGTCTCCAATGAAATGTAAAAAATTTCGTCCTTTATTCTTTTGGGAACATAAAGATTTTCATACTCATTTTTTTGATATTTAAGGTAACCGTCTCCTTGAGACCATCTTTTAGATATAGCCATGATCATGAGATGATTTCAGATACAGTGATATGTTAGAAATGCAAAGATATAAGTAGTAGGTAAAATTCTATCGAAAAAGTTTCTGACAAGATTTATTTGCTGACAATAAAATTCACTTTTATACATAATTTAAACTTGACATATTAATTATGTTTACACAATAGTCAAAATACAATAGGTTTAACCATAGTCATATGATGCAGAAGGAAATGCTTGAACAGTGTAGATAGAGTGAAAGAAGCATTGTAAATAAAGTGGGCAGAACTCTGCATATTTAATTTGAAGCGCACAAACTCGATATGATAGTGCTCTCTCTCGTTTTGGCTTATGATGCAGTAAAGTTTTGTTAAGGAACTCTTGCCCCCATGTATATGGAATTTCCTAGGCTTAATACTAAGCTCTCAAAGGGAGATCTTTACCTTTATTTTAGATAATGATCAATTATGAGTCTGCTTGCAAGGTTTTTTCAGAAGAAATGCAAGCTTCCTAGTGTTCCTGCGGTTTTCGTAAAATTCTGTTTTCACAACAGGGAGATGCAGTAGAACTCCACAAGAACAAGAAGTGATGCTGTAGAAATTGGGGGCAGCAACAAGAGAACATGAAATATTTTTGACTGCATGAAGGATTGACAGCAGGGCCAAAAATCATCCACGTTTTGCTGCCGGAAATGGTTATGGCGGATTTGATTAAAACGGAATGTTGCCAAAGTTGAGAACTATAAATTGTGGGTCAGGGGGACCACTAGTTCCAGTTGGTTGTTGTGAACAACGACCTCAATCTAATAAGCAATAAGGAGGTCTTGGTTTTCGGCTAGAATAAGTTGGGCTAAATTTGTGGAGTATGTCATAAATTGATTAAAATAACTTAAATAATGAGTTTTGAGTTCAAAAGAGATGATACGGTGGAGAAATTTTAGGAAAGGTTGTCATGAATTCAATATTCTATTTAAACGTTTAACCTTGACTTTAAAACTTTAAATTTCAATATAAAATGGAGAATTTTGAGGAGATTTTGAAGAAGATTAAGGATTACATATTTAAATTTGCGGGGTATCTTGAATGGTTGTTGGAGGGGAGATGGGAGCTGTTTTAAGTGAGTGCAAGAACGTAGATTCTTCTCGTGGAGAGTTAAAGAACTGCTGAAATAATTATGGATAGGCTGGCCATAAAATTTCTTTCTGCTTCCTATCCTATTTAGGACGGTAGAATTTGGGATCAAAACAGCAGCAAATGGCATAAACAATAAATTGGAAGTGCACGATGCAGCAAACACCTGGAAAAAACCAAAGCCATGTTCCTAAACTGAAAACTCTGCGGTAGAGCATGGCGTGGCTATGTAAGGAGCGTGGAAACAGTCTGTATTATTGGATAATTTTGTGTCTGATGGAAGACTGGAATGGTAGTGTGTTGAATATTGGACCTTATTTAGGGTCCTATTGATAAAAAGAGAATATTGCAGAAGTCTAGGGGTTTATCTATAAAACATTGTAATACCCTATTTAAAATGTTATGAATGTATAGATTGGGTTTGGAATATTTCTTTCTTTTTGTTATCCAACAAAACCCTAGCCATTTCGGACGGTCGGGATTGACATTCGCCTATAGAGACCCTAAGTTTCCATCTACCACGCGGGATCACGACGGACAGGGACTCGTTGTACTCGGGATCCCACTGATCATTGCGATATGGTCGCGAAAAGGACCACGGGATTACGGCGTGAAATACTCACGATAAAGTCACAACTAGAGTTATTTGAGACGACAACGAGCGTGAAACCTCGCAATACAACCACGACTAGAGATAACTGGGATGACAACCATGGAATTGTAACCTAAAAAACTCGTGATACAATCGCGATTACGGCTAAATGGGACGGCAACGACGGGTATGCATCATTAATCCTCGTGATACAATCGCTATTAGAGCTAACCAGGGAAGCCAAGATGTGATCACAACATGCACGCGCGAGAACTCCCATGTGATATGATTTCTCCTTCTCCTAGTCCCCAACTTTAAGGAGGATCTCTTGCAACAATGCGAGACATCCTCCTATCATTTTAGGTGGGAACATGCGTTCCTAATTTTGTTTCATATTTTAACATATCACCTTTATATGGAGCATTTCATTGCATCTTTAGACACTGTCTCCATACTCGATTGTTGGCAGGCTGCTAAGGAGGATTCCAAGTGGAAAGTGGCTATGCATGAAGATTTAAGGGCTCTCGATAAAAACTGAACATGATAGATAATGTCATAACCATCGGGGAAAATAGTAGTTGAGTGCAAGTGAATATTCAAGTGAAGCAAACTCTAGAAGGGAAGGTGGAGCGGTACAAAGCTTGACTGGTGGCGAAATGGTATAGTCAAACACATGACATTTACTATGATAAAAACTTTGAATCAGTAGCCAAGATGGGCTTCGCGAGGAAACTAGTTTCTCTGTAAGTGAATGGTAAGTGGAGCTTATACCAACTTGATATGAAGAATGTATTTCTTTATAGTGAGTTAATGGAAGAGGTATATATGGAAATACCATTAGGATTCGGTACAATCCAGACAATGGACAAAGTGTGTAATCTTAGGAAGTCACTGTATGGCTTGAAGCAGTCTCTTTAAGTCTTGTTTGACAAGTTTAGAAGAACTTTGGTGGGCATGAGATATCAACAAATCAATGCAGACCATATGGTATTTTTTCGACAACATGAAGGTCACATTACTATTCTTGTTGTGTATGTTCATGACATTATTGTCAATAGTGATGAGAGGTTGATCAACTAAAATAAGATTGGGCAAACAGTATGAGGTGAAGGATCTTGAACAATTCAATTGTTTTCTTGGGATTGAAGTGGCATCTGGACTTGAGGTGATGGCCTGTCCCAGAGAAAATATGTAGTAAATCTTCGCACCAAAACAGACTTGTTGGGGTGCAAACATGCAGTTTCTCCAATTGACCAAAAGGTCAAGTTAAGTGCAAAGGCAAGAAAACCAGTTCATATTGAAAGGTATTAGAGATCGGGGGGCGTTTGATCTATTAGTTTCACACTCGACCCAACATCTCTTTTGCAGTGAGCGTGGTGAGTTGCTACATGCTTGTTCCTAGGAATGATCATATGAATGTAATTTATCAGATTCTGAGGTACCTGAAGAGTGCACCAAAGAAGGGGTTGATCTTTAGGAAGAATGGGCATGTAGACATTGAGGGCTTTTGTGACACTGATTGGGCGAGTTGTGTGGATGTCAGATGATCCACTTCAGGATACTGAATGTTTGTAGGGGGCAACTTAGTCTCTTGGAAGAGCAAGAAACATTCTGTAGCAGTGAGGTCTACGGTAGAGGCAGAGTAAAGGGTCATGATCTTAGGAGTTGCCGAGATAATGTGACTAAGAGCCTTGTTGGCCGAGCTCAAGATGGGCCAAGGAACTCAAGTGAAGTTTTGGTGCGACAACAAGTTAACAAACAACATTTTTTCCAACAACCCGGTGCAATATGATAGAACCAAACATGTGAAGATTGATAGATTCTTCATCAAGGAAAAGCTGAATAACGGGCTACTAGAGGTAAGTCATGTAGCTATTGGAGAGCAAGTGGTTAACTGTCTCACTAAAGGACTTAGTTCATTAGATTTGTCTAGGTTATGTCACAAGATGGGCTTGGTGGATATCTTTTGCCCATCTTAAGGGGGAGTGTTGAGAATTGGACCTTAGAGTTTCTATTGGTAAAAAGGGAATATTGAAGGAGGCTTTTGGCTGTCTCACACAGGTACTGGCTCACATGAACTTGTATTGTATCAAAAATGGAAGGCATCTAATTGAGGCTGCAGGGAGATTACAGAATTGCTGCCACGATAATATTACTATCTGGACAATTACGTAATGGTTGTTATTTAGTGAAGTCATAAATGCAAGAAGTAAATAAAAAACTATATTTTTATTGACAGCATTTAACTCTTAATCAAATTTGATACTTAGTGGGATAATACCAACGATTATGATGATCTATCTGCTCATTGTACTCTATTAACTGTGCACCTTGTGTAAAATTAGTTGAAGTTGGTTTTATTTTGCTCAAATTTCACTTGTTATTAACCATGGTTATTTGACACTGGCAACTATAGAGTACAATTTCAGAAGTTCTATAATGCAATAATATTTGTGATTTGGTTTTTCTTTTTTTTTTTTTTTTTTTTTTTTCCTTATTTCCATCTGCCTGATACATTTTATTTTTTTCATATTTGGTAGGGTAGCGCAGCAGATGTTGCTATGTGTGCAATGCTTGCGATAGACATGAATACTCAGTTGAAGGAACTTGGATGGAGGTTGATTTTGCAGGTTCTTAATTTTGACTTCAATATTTTCCATGTAGTTTTTTTAATAAGGTTCAAATAATAGGTAATTGTTATCTACCGAAGTTTCAATTATTACCATTGTCTCTTGAACTTGTTCTGATGTTTGAATCCAGTATTGGATTGATTGTCAATTGGTGAAAGTATGAACGCCTGAAGGGTATGTAATGCAATCTGTCATTGTCAGTACTTCAATTGATAATGACTAGATAAATATGATTTTCCTTGTCATTTACTTAAATTTAAAACTATTATGAATTAGCATTTTCTTTATTATTTGTTATTATCATACAGATCATCATATAATATGTCTTAGGGCTAGTTTTAACCTGTAGAGTTGGGCAATTTCTATAAATATCCCCTTATTCTTTGAAAAAAACATACTATAAAGAGTTCGTGAAATTTTTGTAGGTCTTGAAGCACGCTCGAAAGGTAAGTTGGGTGTTTTCTATTATTTGTGGAATTTAAAATTGCAAGTAAATAGAATATCAACAACAAAATATTTGAGCTGATCGGCGATTAAATAAATAATTATAGAAATAAACAATACAAGGATGAATGAACACACTAACTGGGTGTGAATTGTAATTAAATGGGTCAACGACCACAAGTGGATGAAAATTACAATCAAGTCACCTAATGGAGCAGGGGTTGTGGAAATTTTGCAATTTCTGAAGAGGAAAGGTGTATACTTAAAAATGTTCTACACTAATCTCAAGGCAATCCACAGTCTACTTTGGTCGAATTGGCTGCCCTCAGTCGACTTTTTCTTTGACGGAGGTCTTTGCCCCTCGATGGAGAACTTTTCCCTACGACAGAGGTTCCCCCCCCTCCCCCCAAACGGAGGTCTTGTCCCTTCGACAGAGGACATTTTCCCTCCAATGGAGAACTTAGGCGAGGGACTTTTTCCCCCCGACGGACGGCTCAGACGAAAGACTTTTTCCCTTGTCGGAGGGCTCAGACGACGATAGGTACCCGACAGAACATACCAATACAAATGATTAACATATCCTGTACTACCATCTTTTAATGCAAGTGTAATATTGTAATTTACTGTTTGACACTCCTATCATCTATAAATAGAAAGACTTTTTCATATAAACTGTGCTTTTTGGGGCTCCCGTCACTTATAAGCTCTATTTTTATGGAATAAAATGGGTTCACGACCCCGGGAACACCCCGATTCGCCCCAAAGGGGCAAGTCTTCCCCTTCTTATTTTTCTCTTTCTCTCTCTCCCTCTCTTAGTATTTTATCCTCAGTTTAATGCTCTTTTATTTGAGCGTGGTTTACCAGATAAATTTGAAATCAATATTCTAAAAGGTGCGGTGAGCGTGGATGGTGCCAACAACAAGAAGATGAGCAACACCAATGGACAAAACTTTGTAAGAGAGACGTTGCTAGCAAAAAACATAATAGTAACTTGCCTTGCAACGGATTTCTTGCCGTCAACCAATTTTTTTTTTTATGTCACGTGGAACTTATTGTTTGGACTCCCCTCCCGTTCCACCGCATGGAAGCTTTGGGCGGTCAGTTGTTTTCTTCACCCGCTTGAATCTTTAAGTGTCGCTCGACCATCTCGATGCTTCTGTAGATCGCCTGAATACGCATATAGTTGCCATTTCGACACTCTCCAAGGGCCAACGAAGCCTCATTATCGACGGGATCGGTTGCGCCGTCGGAAAATGTACGGGCTATTGGACGCAATCACTCATTCGCACCCTATTGTTGGGTGGGGATGAGCACTGTTTTCACCATCCTGTGAAGCCGGATGAGCGTCATAAATGAAGAAGATGCAGAAAAAAAAGAAGGCTTAAGGTAAAAGCGACTATTTTTATCCCTGAGGAAGTGGTAGGTTTCCTCTGCGCGGAAAGCTTGGCGAGAATTGTCGCAAGTAGTGAATAACATTGGCTGTGGCAGAATCCCTGACTCCAGTTCCGGTGATGAGGTCGAAGTAGTGGGAGACCTAAGCATTCAAATCGTAAAACTCTATTGAAGTGCTCTCAAGGTATGATGAAACTTCACCAGGGAGAGTGTCGTGCATTCCCACCCCTCCGCCACCATCGATTGTGAGGATGCAGATCTTTCCTCTCTGGAATTTGATCGGTGCGCAGTGTTGCTGGAAATAGCAGAAGTAGAGGCCGGAGATTTCATAACACAGAATTGTTCTCTCTCTATCGGGCGTCCAGTCAAGCGAAAGTCCTTCCACACCAATCACCTCATCAGTTACCAACCTCCGGCTGACTACGAGCCTCCAACTGGCCATTTATGTTCGTTCGTCCGTCAACCCCAACGACCATGTCAAAAAAGGTAGGATTTACATACATACCCCTTAATTCCTATAAAATTATATATTCACATACGTCACCTATATGAATGCATTCGGAGGCTGCCTGTCGATCAGCTACCTCACTGCTCCAGCCAACCACTCTGCTCCAACCCGATACCATAAAGGAAGAAATATGAAAGGTTTATATACATACATAGCACTTAATTCTCATCTTTTTTTTTTATAAATTCCACCCAATTCTTATATCTTTATGTTTTTACATTGCTCAATTTGTTTTACCAGCAAACTATTCTACGATTAGCAAACTGTCGTCTGACGGACTACTCAAGATGCCTTCATCCAGCCACCCGCCTCCTACTAGCCATTTCAAATCAGGGAAGATTTATATACTCACCACTAAATCTGTACATATTCATATATACATTTATATGCACCACAACTTTGATTTTGCAACTAAATTTGTGTGAAATTGATAAATGAGATTTTTCTCTAAAATTTTAGACAAATACAATAATCTCTTTTAAGCACATGAAGTTCTTCAGCCTCAAATGGACTGTTGTTTTTCTGGTGCAAATATATTATTTCCCTCAAAGCTCACTTTATGATACGTGTGCTCAATAATATTTTGTATCTTTACGTGAATAGTTCAGGGTCGAGACTTGGCGAAATCAAGGAGTTCATGCAATGCAATGACCACTTGAAACTTCGAAAACTCCAACATAGGTAGTCAAACCAACAATGACGCTAAGAGCATTCGATCGGTTAGAGGCATAAGAAACAACCGACAATGATGTCATAGATATTTGATCGTCAATAATGGCTTAGATACGATTACCCACCTGGTAGCGATAAGCTCCACAAGGGGTGCAGAACTCTAAGACTCTCCTCTGAGAAAGCAACTCCAAGATTCCCCCGCAACCACCCCCCCTCCCCCCCCGGCGGAAGACTCTTCCTCTGACGACCGACTCTTTCTCCAACGGGCACCAAACACCGACAACTTCCCTCTGACAGAAAAAACTCCAAAATGACAGGCCTAGCAAGTGACGACAATAATGATGCCAGCACCAAACGCGAGAAGCGCCCAACATAGTATCATTAGCAAATTATGTGTTTAATATTTATTTGGTTTACAAATTTTCTTGTGCTTATTGCAGGTGTCGCTATCAAGGAGCAGAAAAATTATGGAATTTAATATGTATACTAAAAAAAGATCTACATGAATCTCGAGACAATCTGCAGTCTGTCTTGTCAAATTGGCTACCTTCGATCAAATTTTTCTCCGTCAGAGGTCTTTGCCCCCCCAAAGGAGGTCTTTTCCCTACGCCCCTCGCCCACCCCGACGAAGGACTTCACCCTCCGACAGATCACCTTTCCCCTCGATGAAGGACTGAAACCATGGATTTTTTTCCTTTGATAGAGGAATCAAACAATCAATTTTTTCTCCCTGACCAAGGACGAAGGACATGTACCCAACAGAATTTACTAATGTAAAAGACTAAAATATCCTATACTATCATCTTTTAATGAAAGGAAGCAAGGGTAATATTCTAATTTACTTTCTGTATCATCGAACAGTATGAGGGTCTTTCGTGTAAAGGGGCTTTTTGGGGCTCTTCTCACTTGTAAGCTCAGTTTTTATGAAATAAAACAGGTCTACGAGTCCGGGAACACCCCGATTTGCTCGAAAGGGGCATGTATTACTTTTTTTTTCTTCTCTCTCTTTCACTCCGTCTCTAAATCTTCTTTCCTCTCGGTCCAACCCTCTATTCCTTAGGCACGATCTAGCAGACATATTTGGATTTAACACAAGGTTTACGCATTTGAGGTTGGCGATAAATCAAAAGGAGATGATGTGATGATTAATTTGATCTTAATTTGATGATGGAATTGATATTGGGATGTAGCATTGTATTTAGGAGAGGTGACAGAAGTCACATTGGGATCTGGAAGTCATCATGTAGCCATTTGTGAAGATGTGCGTAGTGGCAGATTCGATGCAGGAGCAGGAGATTGGGTCAAGAAAGATCGTAGGAAAAAGATGACGATTGGGTGTTCAGTGGCAAAGCTAAAGAAGAGCACCAATCTTAATGAAACGCTATAAGGATCATTGGAGTATAACGAGGAAGAAATATAAACGACAATTCAAGGTGATGGCTTCATTAATTGGGGGATTAAGAGGTTGGAAGAGGAGAATGACTAATGGGCTAATTCAGTTCATTTGATTGATGCCTTCTATTCTCTAATAGAGTGTATATATAGATTCAAGGGCCATTTCGGATCACTTCTATTTTGGTTCTTATTTTGTTTAATTTGTGTTTTAATTCAAATAAAAATACGATTGATTAAGCTATTTTTTAAAACACTCAAAATATCTTGTAGGTGTTTTGAGTATTTTTTATATTTTTAAAAAACAAAAAATAAGATCATATAAAAATTTTACAAATCAAATATATGTTAAAAAATAAAAATAAAAAATATGAAACAAAAGTGTGCCAAATTGGCTTTCAGTTATCACTTATGGACCACTAACACAACATATGATACCAGCTACACAATTATGAGAAGGAGCATTAACAACTAACCACCGCATCTGATTCATTCCATAATTATATTATTTGCCAAACCTCTTACTCATGACTCAGTTCTTCATGAGATAACTTCACCAATTGAGGGAGAAGGTGTAAGCTTATATTGGTGGAACCTTCCAGAATTTGAAAGAAGAGAATCAAAAAGAAAGGGGAGTAATTCATTTCATTTGATTGATGCCCTACTCTGGTTGGTGACTTACAAGGACTCACTAGGACTCATGAACTCTCTATTAACCACTAATACTTACAATTTTTTGAACTAAGTGCTAACCCCTGCTACTCATTACATCTCCTTATCACAGAAATTATTACAAAACTAATTATGTTGAACATATACTAATAATTATATTTTGTATGTTTGACCTACTTTAACTTTGTCCCAAAAAATGTCCATTTAGCTTTGTCGGATTTAATTGAGGGAGTTCAAAACAGTGACTGATTTATCAATGTCCAGTCTCAAAAAATGTGCTATGCCTGATTTAATCGAGGGAATTCAAAACAGTGACTGATTTATTAATGTTCAGTCCCAAAAAATGTGCATTGAACTGTCTCGCTCTCTCTATCTCTTTCTCGCACTCACACACAGACACACACACACACAAAGCATGGAGGGTCAGTATCTATTAAAAAAAAACGGTATTATGGTGGACAATTACCATCTCTGCCTAATGCTTGTCTTTTTTTCTGGGTGGCTGTGAATTTTGGAAAACCTGGATGACTAGCATTGACAACTCCATAATGAAAGTACCTTAACACCTTTTTAACCAGGAAAATTCATCATCTCATCATGTTTTAATTGTATTTTCTTATTGAAAATGATATATGTAAGATGTGGATATGTTAAGGAACAAAATTCTCCTGGTTGTTACCATGTATTCAATAGATTCGTCCTCCTTCCATTTTCTCCTATCTATTGCTCTTTCAGAACCTAGTAATTTTTTCAAAACCCACCTTTTTTTATTGTATATATGCTATAAGTTATAATTGAAAATTCTTCAGTAACTCAGGCGTTTGTCTGACTTGGCTAAACTTTAACCTGGAATCAGGTGCATGATGAAGTAATACTCGAAGGCCCAACAGAGTCTGCGGAGATCGCAAAAGTGATAGTAGTTGAGTGCATGTCGAAGCCCTTCAAAGGAACGAACATACTCAAGGTTGATCTTGTTGTGGACGCCAAGTGTGCCCATAACTGGTATGCTGCCAAGTAGTTGGTCCCTCGGACATTCAGCTGTATTTTTGAAGCATCTTGCTCTCAGTTTTTCAATTGCTAGAGCAAAAGTTGTGATGGCCGTTGAAGTGCTTACAGCTACTCGATGTGGAATGATTTTACAAATCATCTCATCTTGATTTTGTCCTCGAAGTTGTGCTTCATCTAGAGGAAAGTTTAGACTATACGTCGGCTGATTTAGTTCGACTTTGAAGAGTATTTTTTGTTATCAGAATGGTGGAGACCATGCCGGAGTTTCTGTTCTGAATAAATGATTTGATTAATTTGAAAGTTTAGTATTAGCAGTAGTTAGGGTTTAGGTTGTGTGATTGATGCTGCTTTTAGTTTGAACTGAGATATTTTCTGTATGATATTAAGTTAAGAGCATTTACTTTCATACCACTTAATTCTTATGTATTTATATAGCTAACACCTAAACTTTATTTTTATTTCACATCAAAAATATCACTATTTAAACTTTTAAAAGGTGGAATACACCTTTTTCATGCACGGGCAAGGTGACATTTACTGTTGTTCAAGGGTTAAATATGTAAATATATAGGAATTGAGTGGTATATGCATGTAAATTTTTCTAATGAATTGAGTGAGCAGCCTTTACAATAAGAAGTTTAAATTACACTTAGAAGTGTCGGGAGTAGTTCATAGCATCATTAAAGAGTGTCCTTTTGTTGTTTTAAACGTTCAAGAGTTGTGCTGTAAGGTCCATCATATTAGTAAGAAGAGAATGGTGGTGACGTTGGGAAACGAAGGAAGATTGAGAATCTGTTCAGATGCTATGATAGTTGGATGGAAAAAAAAAGTTAGAGGATATTCTGATTAAAATTTATTTGTGATAATTTTATTTTATGATTAGATTGATAAAAATTGTACGAAGGTTTACGTAGATATCTCTAAATTCTTATATATTTACATATTCAACACGTAATACTTAAGATTTATATGTACTCCATGTAGGCTCCAAAAATTTTGATGGCTCTCTGAGAACTCTGATTTTTATTTGTAGTTTTATTTTGTTGAGAGTTCTGGAGTGTCGAATTTTAAGAAAGCATATAAGATTGTAGGTAGGACACAAATTAGAGATTTAGCCTCATTTTGTAAAAATTATCCATAGTTTTATTTTGTTGAGAGTTTTGGAGTGTTGAATTTTAAGAAAGCATATAAGATTGTAGGTAGGAAACAAATTAGAGATTTAGCCTCATTTTGTAAAAATTATCCCTCCCGTTAATAAGAGAATATTTTCAATTAAGACTAGTCATTAATAATTGAATATTTAGCATATTATAGTCGTAACCTTAGGATTCAAGCTATAGAATCATAAATTGAAGCTTAAAGTTATTGGTGGATGAATTAAGATGGAATCTGATCAAGATTTCATAATTTTATCAATTTGATTGAAGAATCCTTGTCACTAGCCATGAGTTGCATTATCTAAGATATCCTTATAGATCGAGGTTGGAGGTAAGTTAGAGGGGACAAATTTACTTTACGTTTATTAGATGAAAGTTTTGTGTCGATCAATTATACAATTATGATTCACAACTCGAAGAGTATAAAATAGTTGGGAAACATACGAGTTACAGTCATGACCATAATATAATAGTGTCATTTCACCTCAACCGCACGGTCAGAGGGCTCTATCTTAATTGCTACTTTGTGGTATTATTTGGCGGCAAAGTCACTCGGACAGAGAACTTGTCCCACGTCCTTACTAGCAAACAATTACTTTGATTTTGAATATAAGGATATACTTAATATGATATTAGCTCTTTGTGAGTTAAAGTCAATCAGAATTTTGTTACCCTCGACAAGCAATTGTGCAAGGCACAGTTGTGCAGGGCAGATAAATTTTGCATTTAGTTTTTAAGTGATTGAATTTTACTTACATATTAGTTGGTTATTTTAAAAATATTGATTTTAAAGTTTAATCTATCCAATTAAACATGAGGGAATTGAACATTTAAAGCTTTTATATATGAAGGAAACAATTAATTTCATCTTTTTAGGGGACAAATCTAGTTGACTATTGTACTTACAAGAAGATTCAGATTAGGTGATTTGAATATGTAAATTCTTATCTTTATAATTTGAATGTTTATTTCGAAATTACTAGACTCGTCAACCCCAATCCTTACAAGGAGGAGGATCAGACTACTTGAGTTAGACTTACAACCCTATCTTATAGACAGAGGCTCGATTAGCTTGCACAGTATTGTCGAGCCTGACATTTGAGCATTTAACACATTGGTTGGAGCACATGCGGCTTTTTGACTTTATATGTTAGCAAATTTTAAGGGATTTTGCATACTTTGAGTGACTTGGATGCTAGTTAAAATATGTTGGAGGGGCAACTTTTTTCATAAAGGGGCACATGAGCAATTTGAAATTATGCATAGTTGATTCATTTATGTAAATATTCTAAATCTGCATAACTTGAGAATATCCAAATTTTAATTCATGCAAGTTCTAAAATACTATCATGGATCTCCAATTGTTACATTTTATATGTATTTTATTCTTGAAATTTGTATGCCTTGAAATTATTCAAATTTGGAAATATTTCAAAAAATGCTCTGACATATACATAAATTCATTTGGAACATAAAAATGATGGTCTTCTGTTCGCTAGCAAACATGTTGCAAATTGCGTGGTGAGATTTTAAATTTTCAAAAATTTTAAGTTTGAATTATTTTTAAAATCATATGAGCCTAAATTTTAAGAGCTCGATTTTCTAAATTATTTTAAAATTTTAAATGTTTTAAAGTAATTACAAGCCCTAATAACCGAAAATTCCGACAACCTCCTATCGTCAATCCCCATTAGGGGGCGCAGGAGGATGTCAGCTGTTCAAGCTATGTCAAAAGAATTATTGGTCGGTGTCATAAAACACTACGATCGGGGAGTAAAAATGACATTTAACTTGAAATCTCAAAAGATGCAACGAGCTTTCGATATACGTGCATAAAATGTCATATTACGAACCATCATTCTCGGGACGATGCTTTACTTTCCTCGAATAGTACTTAATTCCCGTGGACGGGTACTAGCTTTTCTCACAGATGGGTATTCGCTTTTCCCACGGACGGGTACTTTAAACCCCAAATTTAAAAATAATCGTCCAGACTATTTCGCGGTTTCTTTGTTTGATGAGTATTGTGCCTTCCTCAAATAGAGTTTTTCAAAAATTTTCCAATTACCCCATTGCCCCAACATCCTACCTTTTAGGTTGTGAAGGCGATGGTGACAATGATAAAATGACAAAAAAAACGCATATATCTTTATTTTTGTATATAAATACATGATAGTAATAATACTAGAAATAAAAATATAAATAAATAAATTAACAGTAAAATAACAAAACCACTTGGGCTTTTGGTGAGCTCTGGTTTAAGATGTTGAGTTCAATTTTTGGCTGCAAAGATCGAGAATAAAGTTGGGGTTTTTAGAAAGGTTTTGTATACAGCTCACCCGCTATTCTCCCATTCATGGAAAATATTACACCCGGAGACCGAATGTAGCTATGCATCCTCCAATTAAATTTCGCCACGTGGAAGCCGCAGTCCCCGTGAATAAAAAAAATTTATATAAATCCGCAGTCTCCGTGGAAGCTGCAGTCCCCGTATGCGCCACGTGAAAGCTGCAGTCCCCGTAGGCGCCACGTGGAAGTTGCAGTCTTCGCAGAGACAGGACGCAGTCCCCGCGGCCCGTCCCAGCCCATTTCTTCGAAAAAAAAAACCCTTCATGTCGAATATAAATATTTATTTTCTTCTTACCCCATCGAATAGGGTTATATCGTTATAAAACACCATAATAAACTTCAATAACACTTCAATAAATCCAAAAAAAATACAATAACACAAAATAACCACAAAAACACAAAATAACTTCAATAACTTCACAAAAAGCTGTAATAACACCATAGTCGTCGCAATGACACTTAAATGACACCACAATAAACGTAAATAACTACACAAAAATTGCAATAACACCAAATAATCATAAAAACAACAAATAATCGTAATGACACCAAATAACCTCAATAACTACACAAAAAATTGCAATAACACCACAGCCACCACAATAACACTCAAATAACACCATAATAAATCTCAATTATACCTCAGTAACTCCAGAAAAAAATTGTAATAACACCAAATAGCCGCATTAACATCAAATAGCGCAAAAACACCAAATAACCTCACTAACACCACAAAAAATGCAATAACACCACAACTGTCGCTTTACCACTCAAATAACACTGCCATAAACCTTAATAACACTTCAATGGCTCCACAAAAAGCTGCAATAACATCAAAGAACCACAATAACATCAAATAACTACAATAACATAAAATAATCTCAATAACTCAATAAAAAATACCATTAACACATCAATAACACCAAAAAAATCGAAATAACACCATAATAATGCTAGTTGAGAATAACACAATAAAGCCGCCATGATAGCACTCATATAAAACCAATATAACACCATAATAATACTGAAATAATACTATAATAACACAACAATAACATTGGAATAACACCATTTGAAAATATCACCATAGTCACTGCAATACCACTTAAGTAACACCACCATAAATCTTAATAACACCTCAATAACACAAATAAAAAACCGCAATAACACCAACCCACAAAAAAAAATTGCAATACCACTCAATAACACCACAAAAAAACTGCAACAACGACACAGTCGCTGCGATTCCACTCAAATAACACCGCAATAAACCTCAATAACACCAAAGTAACTCCACAAAAAAAACAATAACACCACAACTGCTGCAATACTACTTAAATAACACCACAATGAACCTCAATTACACTTCAATAACTCCACAAAAATTCACAAGTACATCAAAAAACTGCAATAACACTAATTAACCTAAATAAATTAAAAAAAAACTGCAATAACACTAAAAAAATTGTAATATCATCATAGTACCGCTAGTTGAGAATAACAAAATAGAGCTGTCATAATACCACTCATATAAACCATTAAAAACACTTCAATAACATCATAATAATATAAAAAAAACTGCAATAACACTAAAATAACACTAAAATAACATCATTCAAAAATACTAACACAATTGTAGCAATACCACTCAAATACACCATGATAAACATTAACAACACCACAAAAAATCATAATAACACCATCCTACAAATAAAAAACGTAATACCCCTCAAATAAAACCACTAAAACAGAATAACACCATAGTCGCCACAATACCACTCAAATAATATCACAATAAACATCAA